CTATTTTAAACTTTTCCCGGTCGGGTAACTGATCCCCTGTAGGCTGTGTAATAAAACCTCGATCTGACGGTGTAAACATAAGCCGTTTATGATTATAGAAGAACTATGGATGGAATCAATTTGCGAATTACTCAATTATATACTTAAGCCCAATTTTTACTTTGCTCGTTGCTTTTTGGACGAAGGCGGATTTGATTTGTACGTGGGTGACCTCCCTAGTGTACAGAAGAAATCTGATACTACGAATAATTCCTACTGTGAACAATAGTTCGAAGTTCAATTCCCGTTGCTTTTACCACAGGCGGCCCAGACGTGTATTAGTGTATAGTAAATATATCATTATAGAATACACTACACAGTAAAATTTGTAATGAATTTTATATTTTAAAATCATATTTACTTGCCTACTTTGATTGTATGTGATCGTCTTTTATTTCTGAGCGACATTACATTCGATGCCTGCGACTGTCTTCATAGGTGATAGTATTGAAAGCAAAGGCTAACGATTCCAGTTTTCAAACAGCCGACACGAACAATTCAAATCGAAAAATATCCCCCTTCAAATTGCTTTCTTCGCGGTAAAACTTCGCCAGCGTATAGAATAAACACCCATCTTCGAACATACAAAGCAATATTAACACGTCCTATAATTTTTGCAATGGATTTTTAGCGAAATGTTTCGAGACTAAAATTCTATGGAACTTAGAAAGCCCGATAATTACTACGGCGCCTGCTTGGCCACCTAGCCTCCTTTACCGTTTGGATTTTCAGGGGGGGGGGATCGAATAAAAAACACCTATTTCCGGCAACAGCCAGCCAATCAACGCCGCGATACCGACTGTTTACAATATTTGAAATCTGATATTGTAATTTATCAACAACAAAACTCTTTCGATCGATCGATCGCATAGTATAAGACAGAAAGATAGCTTTTGCAAATTACAATATCAGATTTCAAATATAGTAAACCGTCGCTATCGCGGCATTGATTTGCTGACTGTTGTTGCTGTATACGATCGAAAAGAGTTTTGTTGTTGATAA